TTCTTTTTGCGGATACAGACTAACACGGCTGCTACTCTGAAATCTCTCTCCATGGTATAATAAGAGCTAATTTAGACTCAATTGAGAGTCTTGTTACATACTACAGATCTGAAATCATTGATACCTAGGTCTAAGTATTAGGCCTACTTTGAGAGAGTGTCTCTATTGCAAGAGACTGCACAGTGTGCACCAGCAGTGAGGCTCCCCCACTAACAGCTGACATCTCTGAGAGCTGTGCTAAGTGTGTGTGGGGGCCTGAAGACATCTTGGCAAGTGGCCAGCCAGTCAGCTGGTGGAGAGATGTGGCAAGCGGCCAGCAGGGCGGCTGGTGGAGAGGGCCAGAGAAGAGCCCCACAGAGATGTGGCCAATCAGCCATTGGGGCAATGAGCAAGTGCCCATGCAGTGCAGTGTGTAAGGTGCCTCCTTACCCCCCTTGCCTTCCACACAGCGTGGGAGGTGAACTCTGGATGAACCTCTGGACTCTGGTGCTGCCCTGGCCAAGGACAGCAACTGTGAGTGGGGTACAGAGAAGGGACAGGCACATTAAAAGGACTTTTGGGTTGCTGGACTTAAGACTCTGAGGAGAAAAGAACACTGCCCTACTTTCTTGGGGATGGGTCTTTTGCTCATTGTTTGTGTTTATGATCCCTAGTTGCGGTATCTTACCTAGTGTTTTCCCAAATTAATGCTGAGTTAATAACCTCCTTTTATTAAAAGTTTTGCTATGCTCAGACTCTGTGCTTGCGAGAGTGGAAGTATTGCCTCCTACAGGTGCCCAGGGATGGTGTGTAATTATCCCAGGTCACTGGGTGGGGGCTCGAGCCAGTTTTGTGTTGTATTGTTGAAAAGGAACACTTAGATACTGAACCTGGCCCTTGTTGCTCCTGGCTCCACCCAGCAGAAGGGTTACAAAAGCATCAAATATATATGTGACTGGTCTGGACTTTATTCTGTTTGCACATTATTAGTGAGACCAAGTCATGATCTCTTGTACCTAATTTACCATTAATTTTGAGTTCTGTGATGAGTTCCTTTTTCTTTTTCATGATGAGGTATAATAAAAAATCCCCCATGCTGGATTCAATACTCTTTGAGTTAGGAAATGATCATCTGAAAACTGACTATGTAAAAACAGGTCCTTCTTACTTGCGTCCTGTGTATATCCAGCCACAGCAAAAGATGTTCCTGACCAAACTAAGTTTTTACTCTGTGGCCCTTCATAGCCCAGCAGAGACAACATCACTATGAGAAATCACGCATCAGCAGAACTTTGAACTAAGTTCTGAAGACACATTGCTGGTACTTGAGCAAAGATCTCAGATTGGTGTTCAGATGCCATGGGAGTTTATGGTGCTGGCAGTCTGACTGAGAATGTTCAATCTGGAGTCACTGAGACTGATGCAAAGAATGAATGTAGCTGCTCTGTAATAATCTTGTCTTCCTTGAGTGCCCCTTTAGCATCTCAATCATCCAGTGGCCCCACTGATTTTTTGGCAGGCTTCCTGCTTCTGATGTACTTAGCAATTTTTTGCTGTTAACTTCTGGGTCTTTTGCTAGTTGCTCTTCAAATTCTACCTAATTAAGAACATAAGAGTGGGCATACTGTATCAGACCAATGGTCCATCTAGTCTAGTATCCTGTCTTCTGACAGTGGCCAGAGGCAGATGTTTCAGAATGAACAGAACAGGCAATCGTTGATTGATATCCTTTCTCGTCCACTCCCAGCTTCTGGCAATCAGAGGCTAGGGACACTCCGAGCACGGGGTTGCATCCCTGACTATCTTGTCTAATAGCCATTGATGGACCTATCCTCCATGAACTTATTTAGTTCTTCTTTGAACCCGGTTATACTTTTGGCCTTCACAACATCCTCTGGCAACGAGTTTCACTGGGGATAGGGTGGAATTCTCCCTAATGGAGCTACTTAGTGGACTGGGACCTAAGTGAATCAAGTTATACTGGAAATTTTACAACTAAATCAGTGTAAGTACTCGAGTGAAAAAATGCATTGCAAGATGCTATACGCAGACACACACACACGGTCGTAGAAAAAATGTGCAATGATCTATGAACTTTGAAAACCAGCATGTGAGCATGTGATGCAATATCCCAAAGCACTCTCACAAGGGACATAGTTAAGGTTGTTTATGCAACTGGCTGAGGCTTGAAGGCATGAGGATTTTCTATTGTCAATTTATTTATTTATATCTCAAGTAATCCTGGACTTCGTGATTATTTATATTTTAATGTTGCAATAGTTTTCTAAGGGATAAGATGGATGAATAGTGAGACCCTTATTATAAATCTAAAGAAATAAATCAAATGTCCTGACTTGAGGGCTTAGCTTGAGGTCTCTTTTGAAATGTTTTGGAATAGTAATACATATCACATGGAAATTGGTAAGTTTACCAAATAATGTTTCCATGTTGTACAAACGTTTGCTTCTTCAGAAATAGTTCCAAAGGAATATTGCAGCTTAGACCTCTGAATGCCAGATCCTGAATGACTGTGGGCAGGATAAATGTGGTTACATAAAGTTTGCCAGTTACATAGACCATGCTTTAATCATTGTACTGTTTTTTTGTTTTGTTTTGTTTTAGAAGAGTGTGAAGAAGAAAAGCAGTATTCGGTCTAAAAAGTAGAGGGGAAGCTATTTGTTTAATGAAACAGGATACTGGAAGATTGAAAAAACAATGTTGTTTTTATCAGTTCAGCCACTGAAAGAACATGTGGAACCCTGCTGAGATAGTGGTGTGTCAAAATTCCCAGTTACGTGGGATTTATGGAGAATTACCTATTTTTGAAATTGTCAGTTTATTTTGTTCTTCTGTTCCACTTTATTTAAATAAACAGGTTTTGTCCTTATTTATGCTTTTCTTTCTGTATTCACATAAGTGTCTTCTCAGAGCTTCATAGAATCTCATCCTGCTTCTAAGCTGGTTCTGTCCTCTGTATCCCTAGGACTTATCCCTAGAACTCTCTATGCCTAGGAAGCAGAAACTTAGCTGTTCTTTGAGTGCATTCACATGTGCTTTCCACTGTATGTGTATACACACCTCAAGTACAGTTCTCAGAGAACTCTTTCCCTCACTGGGGGACTTGAGCATCCTCTGTTGCCACACACCACTGCAGGCTGGCATAAGAGGGTGGAGCAGCTCCCAACCTACCTCAGTCCCTTCTTACCACCAGTGGTGGTTTTGGAAGCAATCTCAAACGTGTTTGAATAAGTGCTTCCCTAATGCCTTTGTGTGTGTGTGTGTCTGTGTTTGTGTCCCCCCACCAAATTCACGCTCATGAAAAACACATCATGGACCATGAAATCTCCCCAGTGAAATATGCCAAGAAAGGCCAAAGCTGGAGGCACCCCAGCTGGGGCTCCTACCATGCACAGGGCTTTAGCTGCTAGTCCTGGCAGGTCTGGGGAGGGACTGGACTTCCTCTTCTCCTGCAAGGGCCATTCCCAGAGCCAGATCAGACCCACCTCCAGGAACCTCCCCTGGCTACAGGAAGCTCAGCACTCCCATCCCACTTCCTTTCCCCATTGCTCCCAAGCTACAGGGGGAGGGGTCACTATATAGGGAGCAATCACGGAGCTGCCCCTCCCTGGCTCTGGACCCAGTGCTTGGGGCTTAAAGGGGCCTTGGACTGGCTGTGGGAGGGGGACCACAAGGCCCCCCTATCACAGAACAGTTGCCTACTTGTAAGGCCAGTCCTGCACCCCCAAAAAAGTGATGACCCTCCCATACCATGCAACCCTAATGTCTGTGCTATTTGCTGCTCTCCAGTTGCCCAGTTCTAAGGCAGTGCATGTCAGCAGCAGCACAGAAATAAGGGTAACAATACCGTGACCCGCTACAATAGCCTTGCGACCCCGCCCCACAACCCTCTTTTGGGTCGGCACCACAAGGTTATAACACCATGAAATTTCAGATGTAAATATCTGAAACTGTGAAGTTGATGATTTTTAAAATCCTATGATGTGAGATATATATATATATAGATATATATAGATATATATTAGTTAAGTTTAAGTTAGTTTTAATTGCTAGATTTTAGTTTAAACAAGTTTTTATCTTTTAGTACCAGGCTTCATATCTGGCCTGCTTAAAATGTTTTGAAGAATCCCACATCAGTGACAAATGTCACATTTATAAAAGATTTAAGCTCCATTCAATGAAAGAAAGAGTGGTGACTCTCAAGTGTTTACCCATGGAAGCAGCATTTTAGCCTCCATGGGATTCATCTCATAGGGAGAGCGCTCCAAGTACATCAGCTTTGGTATGGAGCAACCCACCAGAGATGTCTGCAGCTCCTCGGTCCCTTTCGCTGGTGCTGAAGAAAAGGCCTAGGCCCTCCTCAGGCTAGGTACCTTGCTTGGGTATGTTAGTACCGAAGCCAAGTAGGGGCAGAGCACTCTTCAGCTAGAGCACTCTTGCTAGAGCACTCTTCAGCTAAGAAGAAGGGTTCCCCACCTCTGGAGCTTGTGCCAGGTCTGTCAAGGGCATTCCCTGAAAAATTGCTGTGGTACAGCCATCAGTCATTGCCACTCTCAACCACCCTAGAGGCATATGCAACCACAAGGGATCTGCTTATCCACTCAGTACCAGTATCCCAGGCGATGTAGGAAGGCTTATGGTCGGTTCTGAAACCTGCAGCTCCTACCTCATCACAGCAGGAACCCATGGTATGATTGCCACCCAAGCCTATGCAAAGGCCAGTGCAGTTGAAAGGCAAGCCTCTGAAGATATCCCTAGCACCAACATCCCCAGGTTCAGGTTACATGTCCACAGTTCCAACTGGTTCTGCCCCCCAGCTGTCATTCGTTTGATTCTTCTTCAGACTTAGAAATGCATTTGTCTGTGTCCCATCCAAGAACGAGGGCACACACTTCATCAGAGACATGGGAAACATGGGTTATGCAGGAATCTCAGCACTGGCAATGGCCTGGTCAAGGATAAGTCACAGGCCCAAAGCAGTGGCCATTCTAGATTCCGTCCTCCCACTATGGTCTCCCTGCAACCTGGCTAAGTTGAAGTGCTTCTCCATTTAGTCCTATCAGAAAGAAATATCTCCAGAGCAGGCACCCCTGAACGTCATACTGCACTACCTTCTATACCTAAAACATTAGAGTTCGGCTATTAGCTCTGTACAAATACATATTGCAGCTATTTGGGCCTTGCACACCTTGGTGGATAATAGATCCCGTTTTTCCAATCCCATCATCACCAAATTCCTAAAGGGCTTAGTCAGATTGTAACGCCAACAGTTTTTCTGTGTCCGGCAAACACCTGAGGACACCCTCCAGGAGATCTTGCAGGACGCCGCCAAGATTGATGCCTCCCTGTTGGCACCGTGGCAGAAGATAAACGCCCTGAAAACCTTCCTGATCCCACGCATCTCGTTCACCCTATGGGAATCCGCCGTGGCGAAGGTGCCCCTCAACAAGGCAGACAAGATCATCTGGAAGCTGGTGAAGAAGTGGCTGTTTCTTCCCCCAGAGACCCAGCAATGAGCTGGTCTACATCGCCCACAGGCACGGCGGCGCCAACGTCCCCTGCATGGGTGACCTGTGCGATGTCGCAGTGATCACCCACGCCTTCTGCCTGCTGACGTTTCCTGGAGAAACTAAATGGATTCTTTGCTTCAGTCTTCACGGCTGAGGATGTTAGGGAGATTCCCAAACCTGAGCCGCCTTTTGTAGGTGACAAATCTGAGGAACTGTCACTGTCACGGATTGAAGTGTCACGAGAGGAGGTTTTGGAATTAATTGATAAACTTAACATTAACAAGTCACCGGGACCAGATGGCATTCACCCAAGAGTGCTGAAAGAACTCAAATGTGAAGTTCCGGAACTGTTAACTAAGGTTTGTAACCTGTCCTTTAAATCGGCTTCTGTACCCAATGACTTGGAAGTTAACTAGTGTAACACCAATATTTAAAAAGGGCTCTAGAGGTGATCCCGGCAATTACAGACCGGTAAGTCTAACGTCTGTACCAGGCAAATTAGTCGAAACAATAGTTACGAATAAAATTGTCCGACACATAGAAAAACAAACTGTTGAGCAATAGTCAACATGGTTTCTGTAAAGGGAAATCGTGACTTACTAATCTATTAGAATTCTTTGAAGGGGTCAACAAACATGTGGACAAGGGGGATCCAGTGGACATAGTGTACTTAGATTTCCAGAAAGCCTTTGACAAGGTTCCTC